GAACCCAGGCTCAATCATCAATTCCCTTCCGTGTTGCAAACCACTCCACCGCAATAACGAGTTGTCATTTCAATTGCTATTACGGTTCTTATTATGTATAGAACTAAACTTCAATATAAGTAAATGACAATGCAAAATCTACCTCCGTTCCAATTTTTTTTTCTAAGTTAACATTATTATCAAGAAATAATTACCCTAGGTATAACTAAAACTCAATGAGTTTTCCAATCTATGACCTAACTAGTTTTTTTCTCAAAATAATATTATAATTCTCTATTTTTAATTAAAATTCGTAATTAATAATTAATAATTAATTTTTAGGGACAAATATACCCTTTTGGTTATACCTTTAAAACCCTAACCTCCTACCCATTTTCTACAACCCTAGCTATAACCTCCCAACACCCCACCATCGTCCAGCCACCCCACCATCCAGCCGCCGCCGCACGTCATCCAACCGCAGCCGCACGCCATCCAGCCGCCGCCAGCCGCCGCCAGCCGCACATTGTCTAGCATCCGTCAGCCGCTCAGTGCCACTGCGTTCCACAGAACTCCGACGTAGCTTGATGGTCCAGTTCTCTGCCCGACCAGGGTCCGAAGGTGTCGTCGTCTAGCCGGCGCTCCTCGCCGTCGTCCAGCTGCCGCTCCTCCTCGTCGTCCCAGATTTGTGCGCCGCCGTCCCAGATCTGTGTGTCGCCGTCCAAGACTTCTGCGGCCCTTCCCCGACCTGTGCGCCGCCGTCCCAGGCCGTCCGCACCGCCTCCCATCCATCTGCGCCCCAACCTTCACCCCGTCACATTTTTTTTTGAATTCTTGATCGAATACCTGCTTTGTAGTTTCAACTTGGCAGTACAATATTGACTTGCAGATCAGATTTGCTATTGCGGCATATAGTTTTTGAGATTAGGTTTTATATTGAATTTAGGGTTTTGGAGCATTAAATATGGGCATTGAACACCATGAGTGAACATTTCAATAAAGTTTTGAGTATGGACGGTGAAAATGTATGGTAATAGGCATATTGTGCATGGCAGTGAATGAATGCATTGAAAAATTTTGTTGTGCATTGATTATGACCGGTATTGCAGTAACATAGAGCAGTGAATTCATCATGAAATGCAATATACTTAATTAGACGTAAAATAATAAAATATTAAATCTAAAAAAAACAAAAAAAAGAACAAAAATAAATTCATCCAGTGAATGAGAAGAGAATTAATTTTGGCGAAAGTGCAGTGATTATAACCGGATGTGCAGTGAAGACGTGCATTAATTCTGTGCATTAACGGCAATATTAAGTGCATTATTTTTAATTGGACGAAATTAGTGCAAAATACACATATTTTAAATAAGGGTATTTTCGTCATTCAACATTTAAATATAAACGAATTTTCTATTTATTTTTGGATTTTTGGTCATATAAAGGTTTAAAAACTAGTTAGGTCATAGATTGAGAAACTCATTGAGTTTTAGTCATATCCCGGTAAATTTCCCTATTATCAATGGATGTTAAAGTTCATTTCTATCTATTAATAAATAATTCATTTTTTGCCAAAAAAAGAAAAAAAATAATTAAAATTTTAATAATTAAAATTTACATATTTAGAAAATACATTAAAATTTGTTAAATGTTCCACACCGGAAAAGTTTGAATGAAATGAGTGCTATATTAAGCTCTGGGCTACTCCTCTTAACAGGTTGAACTTTTAGAATGGAACCCCGGATCTTAACAAAACTTCTATAAATTTATATAATTCAAATTAAAATATAATCAAGAATTTATGTCATAATCAAATGAATAAAATGAAACGGTTTGATCTAGAAAAAATTAAATTTGCAATTCAATTTGGGGCGAAAGAATATAACTATAGTAATAATGATAGTAATAATAATAATAATAATAAGAATAGTAATAGTAATAGTAATAGTAATAGTAATAGTAATAGCAATAATAATAATAATTAGAATAATAAGAATAAGAATAAGAATAAGAATAAGAATAAGAATAAGAATGTTATTATTATTATTAATTGGGACGGAGGTAAAGTTTATTATTATAATTATAATTATTACTAGGATTTCTGTTAGTATTATTATTATAACTAAACGTGAATATGACTTATATAAGTAAACCTAAATATGTATGCATAACGAAGCATGGCTGTGGTGCAGTGGTGAACAAATTGAAATGGTAGAATAGAGGGTGTGGGTTCCATTCCCGCAGGCGTTATTATTTTCTACAAATGGAGTAATATTTTTATACTCTGTATGATTTACAAGTACCCTCTTTTGGGAAATAAGATTAGAAAGTACCCCACTTTGGGAAATAACTCCAACTTTCCTACTTTTGTGATAAACATTACATCAATAGAATATTGAGGACGGAAGAAGATTACATTTATCGAAAGAGGCCTCGTCAAAAAGTAATACAAAGTACAAACTTTAATTATTATTTCATGGATTATTTTAAACAGTTGTAGATATGCAATTTTTAGAAGGTAGATTCTCTGGTACCTTAAGGCATCATATTTTTGTTCACATGGACCAATCAAAATGACGCAGTAGAATTATTTAAATCTAAATTAAAAAGGATACAATGATTTGGACCAATCAAGTAAATGGTAGGCTTCCCATGGGACTAGCTTTGTATTTAGTTTTCTCAGTTTTTTCGTTTTTTGTTATGCTTTTCCTTTTTCATTTCGCATTGTACTTTTTTCCCGTTATCAATAAAATTTCTTTTTAAAAAAAAAATCAAGTAAATGGTAGGTATGATACCTCATTTTTAATTGGGTATCGAAGTTGTCACCAGAATTTAATGATCTGTTATTTGATGAGGTAAATAAAAATGAGCTAGAAGCGTTTGTTAGAAAGATTTCATATTTTCGTTCACCGTCCATTTCATCCATATACAACAGTGGAATTTGGCTCAAGAGTATCAGGTTCATGTGCACTGATATTTGTAATTTTTAATTTGACAATGGCGATCATTGGTCAATCAAATAGTACACATTTGAATGTTTTTCATCACAAAGAGGTTTATAGGGATTTTTAGTTTGGGATAGTCTGGGTACTTGTTAAAGCTTACAACTTTAAGGTTTAATTTGTGTGTTGTGTATATTTAATTGAAAAAAGTCATTAATCGGTATATGTCTTTAAGACTTCATACAAGTATATGACTCTTTCGTAGCGAGAGCTCCTAGGGCAAGCCGCCTCTAGGTTAATTTTCCTATTTCGGTCATATTGATCGAAGATCGGTCGTCTTTGTTCGGCTATCTGGCCGTGGTCCGTTGTTTGGCTAAGCTCCCTTGGAGTTGGGTTTTCTCTGTAGGGCTACGACTTTGTCGTCCGCTGGAGCTTTTTTCCGATTTCGACGTTGTCGAAGATCAGCTTTGCTTCCCTTGTGTCGCTGGTGCTCGGTTGGAGTCCAGGTCAGGCGCGGAGGGCGGAGATCGGTGGAGGAGGGCGGATTTGCTGTCATGGCTCGAGGAGATCGGCGATGTGGTCATGGTTTGAGGATGCGGCGTTGCTGTTGTCGTTGGAGGATATCGGCGCCGCCTATTCGTTTACTATGGTCGCACGGAGCAGGGATGAGTTTGGTTTTCCAGGGACGGAGGATTGATGCATGGTCTTTGGCAGCCAAAGGTCATGGAGGATTATTTAGCATGGTACCGGTGCTTTGATCTCCTCCTAAACCACCACCATGAGATGTACGACGTGTTAGAGTTCGTGAACGATTTCCTAGTAATTTTTATCTGTTTGTCATTTGTTTTCTTGTGTCCATTTTTGTTTTTGGTTTTGACAGTTTGTTTGAGTTTTCTGCCTCTCTTTATGTCATTGGGTATGGTTGGATCTATGGGATCCGGTTTGGCTGTGTCAAGCCCACTACATGGTTAGCGATTCGTGTTGCTCTTTCAGGGGCGACTGTCTCAAAGCCTCACCATAAGGCAATGTTCTAAAAGGCGCTAGGCGCTAGTCGGGCGCCAGCCCAGCGCCTAGCGCCTAGGCGGCTAGGCGGACGCCTAGTCGGGGACTAGTCGGAACATAGAAATTGCATTTTATCTATATTTTTGCATAAATATGATAAGTAATATTGTATTCTAGTGTGAATAAAATACATATATACACATACATTAACCAACATGAATGATAGAATTATCACATTTAATCATAAACACTTCACTTCATTATGTTATAAATATAAATAATAATAAAATTTAGGTATATATACAAACATATATAGTCTTTATTTTAATTCACAACTTCATTTCTTTATATCTGTGGCTAAAGTTGAAGTACTTATATCGCTTAAGCGCCATAAGCGGCCGACTAATTCACCTGGACGGCCATCCAATTAGTCGGAGCGCCTAGACGAAAATCGGGGCGCCCGACCACCGCCTAGCGCCTAGGCGGGGACTAGTCGGGCGCCTAGAACGATTTTTAGACCAGAGCCATAAGGTTACAGTCGTAGTTGTTGGAGTTTTAGTTGGCGTCAGTTTTATTTTCCTTTTGCTTGGTGTAATGATCCTGAATCTTTTGATATGAATAGAGGCCTGTTTTGATGATTAAAAAAATCGGAATATGTCTTTACCGTGCAATGCACATGTTAAATAATACTCCGTCCGATTATATGCGACTTCCTTTAGTTAGACACAATTATTAATAAATTGTTTGAGAAAATAAAAGATGAGACTTAAATATAATAAAATGAAATGTCGTAAACCACACATTTCTTTCTGAAAAAAGAAATGTGACAGTTATATAACAGTGTCACATAAAACAAGCCCGAAGGAGTAATATATATACTACATATTTTAACAAGTGGGAAAGGTTCAAATAAAAAGAGACATTCCAAGCAAACCAGGAGACATTTTGGAAAGTGAACAAAGAATATAAAACTTTTCTTACTATTTAGTTAAAGTAATGTTTTGAAATGACGTAAAACATGGGGCAGGGACTCTATTTAAGTGGTAAATGATCGGCATCTTTTTAATTGCCCATCCTTACTACCTTCCATTTCGTGTTTCTTATAGTTCCCCATAGCCTGTAGGCAGTAAAAATACTCTGCACCCCGATTTGAATTGCTAGCTTGGACATGGACTCTAGTCTTATTAAGAAGTTAATCATTATAGGCGGGGTACTGTTAATTTTATTTGCTATCTTTTGTTGTTATTTACTACGTACATGATAGGTGGAAAAAACGGAAGCAGGGTTCCTCGACCACACAGCCTCCTAGGGCCTCTCTCTGATCAACCCACTGAATTTAGGTGCGTACATATTCTGTACGGGTTTCCTGCCGGGGTGTAGCCAAGATCGAAGTTTGGGATGTGACGGTATAAAGATTTTATTCAGATAATTTATCACACATATACTATGGTATTTTTTACTCTTAAGAATAAAAAGAATTTTAATTTGGGGCGGGCGGGCGTCCGGTTGCCCCCTACCTCCGCCCTTATCTTATACGTACTTCTGGTTAGAGAAATGATTTCATCAGTTTGTCTTATTGAAACCCGTCGTGCGTCCCCCTCCATTTGAGGTGGTTCCGATGAAGTTTTTTTATTAAATTTGTTTGGCATGTTCATTATGCAATTTATATTATGTCCACAAAAGTCTCAGCTCAAAATCAATCGTGAAGTCAAGTAAAAAAGTTATTGAAAAATGCTGCGTAGATAAAATAAAATTTACATATATCTTAGCTGTATATATATGTGTGTGTATTAAGCTTACTTAGGGAGTGTTTGCAACTGCTTCTGCTTAAAAAAAGCACTTTTGGAGAAGTAATGAAAAAGTGATTGGTAGTAAAAGTTGATAGTGTTTGAGAAAAAAGTGATTTTGAAAAATAAAAGTTGGTAGTGTTTGGTAAAATAAGTGCTTTTTGTGTAATAGAAAAGGGAAAAGCACTTTTCACACGCAAGCCGAGAAAAAGTAAAAATTGGTAGTGTTTGGTAAATAAGTGCTTTTTAAAGCCAAAAGCTGAGAAGTGCTTTTTTTTAAGCAATTGCAAACACTCCCTTAATAAGTGATTACGGTGACACGTTTAATATATGATTGAGCTTCTAAATGGTAAGTTCACTATCACGTAGCTCAATCCAAAATGCTCAATCAAAAACAAAAAAGAAGTCTGATTGGTTTTAATAGATGATTTTAAACCTTAACATGTTTATTAAGATGTGAGTCACTGCTAATTTATTTGAGAAGTTCTTTATTTTTGTGGATTAAATGTGAATGTATATATAATTCACCCAAAGGTTGACATAGTACAATGTATAAATTATTATCAAAAAATTTTATCTATCTAGTCTAAAAGTCTAAAACTAACCAAAAGACTAACCAACCCCCACGGCATACCATTTACTACGTATCTGTCAAGGTTAGACGGGAAGGAAGAGAGATTTTTGCAAAATATTCAACCCCCAATCCATCTTCCAGGGCGCTGGGCGAGTGAAAGTCCATTTGCCCTTTCCACATCAGTTGCATCTTTAGCCCACACTACATGTTTCGCTAGGGTTTTCAAAGCTTTTTATTTATTACTCCGTATATTTGAGGCTGGGGCGTAGCTAGGGAGGGGTAAACTCTGCCTCCGACCCAACTCAAATTTTAAAAATGTCTAAATTTTTAATATAGAAAATTTCGCGTAATTTTTTTTCAAAAATATTTTTTGTACTGGCTCAGTGCCCTGATTTGAGGCGTACATATCCATAACCCAGACCGTGTCGATCACATTATTTTAAATATGTTTAAAGTGAAGCTTAAGTGATACACTGATACATACTTTGAAACAAGTTTTCACAGAGTTGTCAGAATTTAGAATTCTAGACTTTCTGATATGTTTAGTGAGTCGCTCTATAAAGTGACATAGTGGTGCTATTGAGTACATATCATGGGATCTTTTCAGAAATCTTATATACAAGTTATTTAGAAAGTATTTTGAAATCCCTCATAATTTACTTGAGACTGATTTTAGCAAGAGTTTTGAGATCTCTTCAACAGTTATACGGTATGTTCTAAAAGGCGTAAGGCGTGCCGAGGCGGCACGACCAAGCCCGAAGCCTTTGAAGCCTAGGCGGGTTTAGGCGAGGCCTAGGCGTGAAAAAGCGTTTTCAATTTTTACTATTATTTCATTTTTTTTCTATTTATTATGTATGTATATGTAATATTACATAATATCATATACCAAAATTACACTTTTGATATGAAAAAATTCCAATGATATTAGTTATAAAAAAGTGTGGACCAAAATGTGACTTGGGATGTTTTACTTGCATTGTAATTCGTCCCAGACCAGAACAGATCAGGTCAGATTAGACCAGGTCAAACCAAACCAGACCAGACCTGAATAATTATAAAAATACAAAGAAATCAGACATTACCAGACTACACCAGCAAATTACAGTCTAAGTAAAAACATAATTTACAGACAATTGTTTACAATAATTGTGATCAAAGTTGCATCTCATTGACTACACATTTTGTCACTGCGATGTAAGTTTGAACACAATTATAGTCGGTCATAGTTACCAAATCACATTTTTGTTCATGACTTTTTTATGATTATTATTTTTAAATTCCTTTTTATATTTCAATAGAATAAATTCTTCAAAAGTACAAACAAAGGTTTACATATTACTTTAGAATACAAAAAAACGAATTAAAGATGTTGGTTGATAAATTATACTCCCTCCGTTCTTTAATATTAGTCCTCCTAAGCTTTGGCACGGGTTTTAAGAAGAAAGTAGTAGGGGTAGTGTAAAAGGTGTAATGAGTAGTGGGTAAATGAAAAAGTAGGAAAGAAAACGGGGTAATGGTAATAAAAGTTGGGGTATAAAAGTATATTTAGAGTAAAAACTTTCCTTAAATGGAAAGGAGGACAGATAAAAAAACGTCCCAAAAAAGAAAGAATGACTAATAAAAAAGAACGGAGGGAGTACTGCGTAAGAAGTTATATTCCGTAATAATTATAATAAAGAAAATTGCTTGAATTAGGATATATACGTAGTTTGAAAAAATTTAAGTATCATATGCAGAGTTGGCAATTCAATGGAGCCACCTCACTTTGGTCTGCATTACATACGGAGTGGAGTATATTTGGAATTCAAAATTTCCACACCGGACAAAATAGTATACCGTCCTTCCCAAAACTCTATATATCCCATCCATGGGGACCACGGGTTAGTATTATGTTGCTAAGGCTGCCTGCAACCCACACATGAATAACCCAATTTTAACCTATTCAACCCAATAAACACTGCAACGTATGTATTTTGGGGTGTTATATAGGTGGATGGCACCCCTGGCCGTGGGAATTGGTAGGATTATTGACGGAGAGGAGTGCAGAGCCGGTCCCAGGTGTCAGCTACTCAGCCATGCCATCAGTGGTCCGCAGCACTCCAGGCACTTAATTAATGTTTCGTAGTATGAGGCCTGCTAGGGGTACACACTTTTTGTACACAAAAAGTGTACACTCGTCTGTCTCCCACAGACAAATTGTCTGTCGCGAGATGAGTTGTCTGTGGGGACAGACAACTCATCTCGCGACAGACAATTTGTCTGTGGGAGACAGACGAGTGTACACTTTTTGTGTACAAAAAGTGTGTACCCCAATCTTTTTTCTTCGTAGTATTGCATAGCACTCACTACAGTCACTAGTTGGTATTAATGTCATTGCCCTTTGCAATTTATTTGAAACTAGATTTTTCACCCGTGCGTTGCACGGGATGCATTTCCATATTTGGTTGTTTGGAAAATAGCATTTGAGCCAAAATAGTGGTTTGACTTTTTTAGCGTTTTCAGTAAGTAAAAGTGTTTTTTTGGTAAATAACTATTCGGCCTTAGCGCTTTTAGGCGGGTCCGCTGAAATGAAAAGCGCTGCAAATAGAAAAGTTTTGAGTTAGCGTTTTGTCATGTAGCGTTTTCTACTAATTATTGTGACCAAACAGCAAAATTATCAAACATCTTTTCACAACCTGTCAACTTATTCCGCTAATCAAACTCACTGACTGAATCTGCTATTGATAACCCGCTAACATAATTTGTTATCGTTTAACTGCTTAATGTCAAATGCACCATTATGTTTTTTTTACTCCAGGGGGGTCTGGGGGAGGGGGACTGGGGGAGGGGGACTGGGGGAGTCTGGAGTAATCAGGGTTGAAACTCACTCCATTGAGTTTCCAACCCTTGTGTGTCTAGCGGAATTCGAACTCGAGACCTCCCACTATGCATGGTAACCTCACAACCAGCTGGGTTGGAATGCTTGGTTCAAACGCACCATTATGTTTTTAAACATTTAAATTCCTAGAAATAGTTGTATTTATGCAAACAAATTGGCGTTGACCACTTGGCAAATAAGTTGAAGTCCATAGGTTAGTCATATTCACTTGTGTAATCCCATGGCGATTTTAGCATTTTTTTAATTGGACTAACCTTCAGTTCAGAACAACTCTAAAGTGTTTGAATGATGTATAACAAAAAAGGAAACACATAACCACAAACGTTTATTTTAGTCCTTTTCAAAATAATTTTTCATTTTCATTTAAGAAAAATATTATGAGGTTCAGTTTACTTTTGTCATCTATATAAATTTCAACTATACAATTTCACTTTCTTTATTCTTATGCACAAATTAGTTACTAAAAAAATTTAATTTGTAATTACTTTCTATCCTCGAATAGAAACAAATTGATAATCATTCTTTCCTAAATTAAGTTAGTATAGGAATATCAAATGTAGCTTAATTACCTGTTATATTTTATTCTATTTTTCAAGTGGATGTTCACAAAATTCATAAAAAAGACTGTTAAATGTGGGTTTGAACTAAAAAATAAAAAACTTTCTCAAATGTAAACTGGGGATATCAGGAAGATAGTTTCCATCGTTGGTTGAATCATAGAATAATGAAATTGAGAATATAGAATTGATAAATTAATTAATAAGAAACAAACATTACCTTGCAGAATGAGGGCGATGGCCCAAATGACATCCCCTCTTCTTCTACAACCTGCAACCATGGCATCTTTTGTTTCTGTGACAGGGAAATATGAGAATTTGAGTAATGATTGCAACCATGGTGCCGTCTTAAAATACAAACAGTACCTCGTTGAGTGAAGAAGATGGCCCAGACGACATCCCCTCTTCTTATGCAACCTGCAACCATAGCGTCGTTTTCATTCTGTGAGGAGGGAAGATGAGAAACTGAGTAGTGATTGCCATGGGGTCGTCTTGAATTTTGGCATCTTAGGGTTAGATGAAGGCCTTCGAAGTAGGCTCCCAATTCCTATGGAATTTTGTCTTCTGATTGAGAAAGACCGTTTACCTCGTTGGCTTCGTTGCTAGGAAGAGAAGGAACTTGAGGCATCCTTCTTTCAGAAGCGCACTCCAGTTCGATCGTTCGAAGGAAGGCTAGTGCTGCAGAGATAAGAAACCTATTGCAATTGAAAGTGAAATTGAAGAGGGTGGAACGAAATAACTCAAGCGGTAGATTGAAAAAATGAATCGTGCGGCTAAAATGGATTTTGCACTAAGCGGGAAATGCTTATCCAACTCGAGACCTCCCACTATGCATGGTAACCTCACAACCAGCTGTGTTGGAATGCTTGGTTCAAACGCACCATTATGTTTTTAAACATTTAAATTCCTAGAAATAGTTGTATTTATGCAAACAAATTGGCGTTGACCACTTGGCAAATAAGTTGAAGTCCATAGGTTAGTCATATTCATTTGTGTAATCCCATGGCGATTTTAGCATTTTTTTAATTGGACTAATTTTTTTTTATAATCTAGTCAAATCCAGTCTGTTTAAATATGATCTAATCTATAAGATGTTTGGTCTTTATGTTATTCATAACTATCCAGTTCAAGTAAAAACATTACTTACTCTCAAAATCTTAACATGGAATGTTTTCATAGTAAAAAGTTGACAGTGAAAAATAATTGATTTTTCTATTAATCTCATTGCTTTTCAATACTACATACTCCGTATAATAATATTTTTCCTTGAAATCAAACAATTCACATTCTTATCTACCAAATAACATTCAATCTGGTTCTATTGTTAAATCTGTGTTTTCTTTCCATACACAAATATCATATAGATAACAACCGGTCCAACACAATCTCGAGTGCGATTTTTCAAATCTTTTAAGTTTTAAAAGAGATTTGAACTCATTATTCACAAACAAATGCAAAGCACCAATTCATTAAAAAGATGTTCTGCAAGCAATTTGAAATATATTCCATATTATTGTTGTTTTGCTCTTCTTGTATAAGAATTGCACCCTAGCCATGCTTACAAATGATAAATGTACAACATAAAATGTAGATGCATATGGAGCATTAAAGGAAAAACTCAACTTATGGAACCATGTTTATTTACACCTTATGAAGCCAAGTTTATTAATCTATTCATGGAGTGGATTGCATTTCATAAATGAAGCTTCAGCATAACAGATGAAAACTACAATTGCTATGGCTCATGGCAACTCCAAAGACGATATTCGAGGATGAAATCCTATAAAAAAAATAATTAAAAGCGTTTCATAGGATGAAACGCTATGAAAAATAACCAAACCATGTATCATTAAAAACAATGTTATTGATCCATTTAGTAAAAATAACTAAAACTCAATCTTAATCAAATAGTTCTTTGTGAGCTTGAAGTAGCCTGTTTTCCATGTTGTGCTTGGCTTGGAAAAAAAGCTCTTAATGATCGTGACTTTGGCTCAGTTACTGAATGACAAAGATTCGAGTATGGAGTGGCTAACTAATTGAAAAATTGTGCATCAGGGTAATCACTGTGACATAAAAAATACATAAGTTAGGAGAGAACTGGTAAGTTCGTTGATGTTATTGAATTCAACTCACAAAAAAAAGAATTGTAATTGGACTGTGAATTGCTGCTTATGAACAATGAGCCTCTCTGGCTAATTAGTCTTCTACTTCTAAACTGTAGTTTAAACCATCATCTGCAGAAATTGGAAAAGCGCAGGTCCCATTTCATTAGAATTGTAAGAAACCAAAGAAAACTTTAATCGAAAAACCCCCAGCAAATTCCTAAAAAAACCTTACACATATACTCCTATCCCTATAACAAAAGTAAAAGTGTGGACAAATTTAGTTCTAATTAATGATATAGGAAACATTTAGACATTGTAAAACCATAGAAGATGCATCATCTAACCTGCTCTAAAAGAAATACTTAAGAGATATACTCCTATCCTTATAACAAAGAACCATATATGCATAGATTTATAGAAAAAAGTGAAGTGTTTTTCACTAATCCAGCAAATTTATTTGAACTAACTTCATTTCAGTCAATTTTCATAATTAAAGAACCCAGTGAAGGAGTAGCACCCAAATATAATCCAAGCATCCCTGGTGAATGGAATCTGCCAAAGCAAAATCTGAAAATTAACAATATCATATACTTTGTATCCGTTAAGTGTCATATACTTTGTATCCGTTAAGTGCAACTTAAGCAATTATCACTATAGTTTAATATATTTTAGCCCAAAAGAATTTCACACCTCTCTTGAACGAAATTATATTTTGCTCTCACGTTACAATAGTTTCAGTTTAGTATACGACCTAAATAAGAATATCTTGAACAACATATGCAGATAATATTGATTAGATTTTACTAAAATTCACAAAACAATAAACTCAGAACCAATATAAGTAAATGAGTAGACCCAAATTTCTTAAAGTGTACAAAAAAAAATAAGACACACCTTCAGTTGAGAACAACTCTAAAGTGTTTGAATGATGTATAACAAAAAAGGAAACACATAACCACAAACGTTTATTTTAGTCCTTTTCAAAATAATTTTTCATTTTCATTTAAGAAAAATATTATGAGGTTCAGTTTACTTTTGTCATCTATATAAATTTCAACTATACAATTTCACTTTCTTTATTCTTATGCACAAATTAGTTACTAAAAAAATTTAATTTGTAATTACTTTCTATCCTCGAATGGAAACAAATTGATAATCATTCTTTCCTAAATTAAGTTAGTATAGGAATATCAAATGTAGCTTAATTACCTGTTATATTTTATTCTATTTTTCAAGTGGATGTTCACAAAATTCATAAAAAAGACTGTTAAATGTGGGTTTGAACTAAAAAATAAAAAACTTTCTCAAATGTAAATTGGGGATATCAGGAAGATAGTTTCCATCGTTGGTTGAATCATAGAATAATGAAATTGAGAATATAGAATTGATAAATTAATTAATAAGAAACAAACATTACCTTGCAGAATGAGGGCGATGGCCCAAATGACATCCCCTCTTCTTCTACAACCTGCAACCATGGCATCTTTTGTTTCTGTGACAGGGAAATATGAGAATTTGAGTAATGATTGCAACCATGGTGCCGTCTTAAAATACAAACAGTACCTCGTTGAGTGAAGAAGATGGCCCAGACGACATCCCCTCT